GCGCAGATTGGCCAAAAACCTTTAGTTTGTAAAACAGTGCAACATGTGCGAAGTACAAGAAAGCGAGGTGTGCCTGTAAACAGAGGAAGGCCGCTGCCCTCCAGGAGCTTCCAGTCCTAGTGCAGCGCCATCCGGTGGAGCTTCGGGAACATAGGAATGTCCTCTGCTGTCCTTACAGGAGCTCGGGCTCCATGAGGCTCTTGAGCACTTGAAATGTGGCCAGTGTGATTGAGAAACTGAATTTAAAATTTAATTTATGTAAACTTGAATAATCATATGTTGGTATAGAAGCCAGACTCCTGAAAAGGAGGGATGGGTCGTTTAAGGTTTGCTAAGTCCTGGACTTTCTTCTAGGAGGTGACATGGCCCCCGAGTAGGAGCTTTGGGGGAGGCAGGTTGACCCCAGTTTGGTTCTGGCTCTATTTCTTACTAGCTCTGTGACCTTGAGGAAATGACTTAACTTCTTGGAGCCATGGGTCCTCAGCCGTATTTGGTCGTGAAGGATGACATGGGCGATGCCTGCTCAGCGTTCGGTGCGCAGTGGTGCTCAACAGCCAGTGGCTCTCTCCCGGTCCATACCGGAGTCTTGGCTGAGCACCCCTTCTTTCCACGGCCAGATCAATATCAGGATTTCAGGGATGTCCTCCATGCCCCTCAATAAATGAGGTTAGGAGAGGCAGAACGTCGGCCCCTAGGGAGCACTCTGAGAGCATCCCTCCAGGGTGAAGGCTGGCTGGAGCCTGAGTGGGGCCACCCCCTTACAAATGCTGTCCTGAGCCACAGTCTTGAGTCTGGTTCCCTGTGAGCAAGCATGGCGGGTCAGGGCAAGGAGACGGAAAGTGGGGCCTGCCTGCAGGGAACCAGGAACTCCCTAGGAAAGAAAGCAGGGGGCGGGCCTGGCAGATTGGAGCATGGGGGGGTGAGGGTGGGAGACTGGGGGGGTGGGCCATGCCCTGTGGACCAGGTGGGCTCAGACCAGCTGAGGGGTGGGAAAGATGTGGTTAACGGAAAGGGAGGCCATTCGGGAAGCACGGCAACCTTGCTGGTGTGGCAAAGGGGGTCAGCTTGATGTGGAGGGGGCACTTTGGGAAGAGGACCCCCTGCCCGGGTTTTCCTGTGGGGGCAAGGGGCTGTTGGTGTAGGGGAGCAGTGGTGGCTGGTGGAGGACCTGGGTGTGAGCCCGGTGGGAGCTCATGGCTGAGAAGGACCTGGAAGCTGGGCCTTTTGGCCATGGTTTGGGGAAATGCCACCCCTCCAAGCCTCAGCTCCTGGTGGGTGCATGCGGCCAATCCCCGCTCCACCACTGACCAAGGACACCTGAGTTGCCATCCACTTCCCCTGCCCCGCCTGAGGCCTGATCTGTGAAGAAGGCTGTGCTTGTCTGGTGGAAAAGTTCCAGGGGCCTGAGGTTGGGAGGATGTGGGGAGCCGTGGCCATGTCCCTGAACTGCCCCTCCCATCTGTGGCCTTTCTCTTCCCCCAGCTGCTGTCTACTCCCCTCCCTGCCCCCAGGATTCTGCTGAGAGCAAAGCCCTTCCCCTGCCCCCAGACCTCACCACCTGCTGCTGGGCACAATCCTCGCTTTGTGTGGTCTGGCAGTTGTCGTGCAGCTGCCCCTCCTGGAGGCTTCTCATGGAGGGGGCTCCCATCCCAAGGCAGCCTGACCCAGTGTGGGAGGGCCAGGCCCAGAGCCAGGTGCTGGGAAGGCGGAAGTGACCAGGGCCTTGTCCCGAGACCCATCCCTGCATGTGTCCCACACTCCACAGAACTTGCTCGGCCAGGAGGGGAGAGGTCACTGGAGACTGGGGTGAGGGCCCTGTGTGATAGGCCAAGCGGCTTTTGGAGAGTCAGTGCGGGCACTGGCAGCGGTGTTGGATCGGCCCTGTTGCCTTCTGTGTCTGGCAGGGGCATTTTGCTGGGCAGCCTGCATGCCAGGCCAGGTCAGGGGAGCCATGGGTCAGGGAGGGTGGGTGGGTGGCGGCTAAGAAGGGGCCTGTAGGGCAGCGTAGCAGGGTGGAAGCAGAAGAAGAGGGAAGGTTAGAAAAGATGCAGCTTGGGGGGGGCCTGGCTGACCTGCAGACACGTGGCTACACGCAGACACTTCCCTCTGTTTGGCTTTCTCAGGGTTTTACCTGCAGATCACCTGCTGGCCTGTTTTCTAGACACATCCCACCTGAGCACACAGTTGGAGGCGGGTCCTCAAGACATGGGGGCCTGCCCCCCATTCCTGTCCTCTGTGCCTCTCCTGTCCCCTGCCCTCTCATTTCTTACTTCTTCCCCTTGGGTCCACGGGGGTCCCCTTCCCTCCTGTGCTTACTGGGACCACTCCGAGCCCTGGTGTGGCTGGGACCGAATACCCAGGGACGCAGGGAGCTGCTCTGTAGCTTGCTGTGAATTATTCATCAAGAATTGAAGCCTTTCTGCCACCTGAGCTGATTTGTAGGTCCCAATACTCCTGGGAAGACAGAATGGATCAAGTAGGACCTGTTTGATTGGGCTCAAGAGGCCCGTCGTTGTGTCATGTAGGGGTTTTGTGAATAAGGCCAAGGTCCTACCCTCTGTCTTGAATTACCCTGGCCTTCGGCCCCTCTGTCTGAGTTTTCCTGAATTAAGGTGCCTCCGCCTTCACCAGTCCTCTGAGCCTCTTTAGGAGGACATCTTATCTGCGGTGCGTGAGAGGCTTCCCCAAGGCTTGGGACACACAGTAACCTGGAGGAAAGAGGTGGCGCCAAGGCAGGAGCATCCGTATCCATCCATCCACCCATCCATCCATCCATGCGTCCATCC